AGGATGTAGGATTTGCATTCAGTGCAACGTAGGTACGCTTTGTCTAAGCGTAAGTTGTGGACGCCTTGCTGTACTCCTTCCTGAGCAAGGATGAGGTCGTTGATGATCTCGAATCTGGTCTTCTTTGGCGTGACCTGACAGGCCGCCTGCTCACACGAGAGTGGAGGTCAATGCCGGCCTGAGCTCTGTCAAAAGACTTTTGGTGTGAAGCCTCTGACGGCAATGCTGGCAGCGGACTCCAGATCTGTAAACATGCCAAAGGTGGCCTCCCTGACTGGGTACCGTGAGGAGCTGCTCAAGAATGGGACTTTTTGCGCATTCTGCCCTTTCTGACTCTGGTGCAAGAAGTGGGTGCGGTCCTTGAGCAAGATGTCCATCCTGGCTCCAGCGACATGCAACACGTCCCTTGTATCTTCGTCTATGTGACGTTGAAGATCTAGGATGTCCTCATTCCTGGACTCGTGGGCAAATCTCCTGGCCAATCTTTCCGCATCCTCCTGAACGGCCTTGCGGGTCTCGTTGGAGTCCACCTCCTTCTTACCAAAGAGGAGAGGGCGGACCTGATCAAAGTCCTCGAAGTCCAAACCCTGGTAGAGGTCGGGGTATGTCTCGTAGGCCTTTGTGGGGCTCCAGGCTTTCCATACCGCATGCTCGTAGATGCCAAGGTGCACCTTCTCTTTGGCATGCAATGCCAAGTGCTTGAGGGCATAGAAGGCCGCTCTGGCCTTGGTGGCCTTTCCAGGACAGATCCCTTTTAGGGCAGCTACCCGCTGACGAGAGAAGACCTGGTACATGCAGATCACAAAAACGTAGCGCTTGTGTCGAACATCTTTGCAGGTTTGAGCCACAGCGAGAGTGAGGGCATGGCCTGCCGGAATGTCAAAGGTGTCCTGAGGCGTCCAGATGCCTTCAGTAACAAAGGTGCCCATGCTCTTTGCCAAAGCTCGGGTTCAGTGCCCGCTGCAAGGCGCTGCTTCCATTGGTCTGGTATGTCTTTGACCTTCCCTCGCCAGAACTGGCACTCCCACAAGACATGCTTGAAGGTGAGCTCAACTCCACATAAGGGACAAGTGCCAGAGATGCCATGAAGAGTGCCTTGATGAAGAGCTCTTGAAGCCGGGCCCAACCTGTCGTCAGTGTACTTCTGGATGACATGCGATATCTGCCAATCCAGTTGCCTTTCTAAGTCGTGGCAGCCCTCGTACCTGGTCAGTCTGAGGAGACGTTGCCAGCGAAATTCCTCTTGAAGCTTGTGATGCAGCAGAGGCCAGCTCTCTTCAAGAGAAAGGACACAGTCAGGGATGCCTCCGTACCCCGTGCGCTTCCAGGATTTGCCATTCGAGAGGTCAAAGTCATAGTCCAGCAAATAGGCTTGTAGGGCTTGAAGAGGCCCATGAACAACTTGCCAACGATATCGAGCCTTTTGAAGCGCTCCCAGGGCAACATTCCAGCTGGTCCAGAACAAGTGTTGAGTGCTCTCGTCGAAGGAGTGGTAAACCTTCCAGACCGAGAAAAGGTGCTGCTGGATCACCGAGTCACCTGGGTCTGGGAACTTGGGATTCATGTCATAGACGACGTCGACAGAACCGGACTTCTGAAGATCTGAGCTGTTGTCGCCTTTGTGGAGCCGAACCGGTGGCCTGAGCGCCCCAGGACATCACAGGATGGATGGCGCTGCGGTGGAGCCTGTAGCGTATGTTCCGCTGAAGCTTGAGGCGGTGGAGAATCCCAGCTCTTCCCTGACCTTTGAGGAACCGCTTCTTGGTCTGGGCCACCCTCCGGTGTCGTGCTGCCGTGGCATCTACTCCCAAGTCTCTCAACACATTGTGATGTTGCGGACCTTGGTCAGTCAAATTGAGCTGAAGAGCCTTGGCAGTTTCTTTGCTGCTCGAGATGAAGCCTGTCTTGTCTGTGTTGACTTTGAGGCCGGCTTCCGTGAGGAGCTTGTTGAGAGATCGGTAAGCCATCACTGCTTCCCTTGCTACGAAGTCTGGGTCGGTTCCTACCACATCAAAGGAGACATCATCGACCCAGGTCTGCAATGCCACAGCAGGATGTAGTCTTCCCAAAGCCTGGAGCGGCTCGTAGAGCACCAGTTTGGAAATCGCTGGTGCCTGAGGGCACCCCTGGAGAATGCCCTTGGCATAGTGAGTGGGGTTGCCGGCAATGCCTTCCGCCTGCAGCAATCTTGGCAAGGAATACAGATCAAGAGCCAACTTGAGGTGCACCGGAGGGTAGTTGAGCTCAGCCGCCGGCTCTATGATGTGGTCCAAGTTGACCGTGTCGTAAAAGCACGAGAGGTCGGCGAGGCATGTGACCGTGTGGATGCCCTGATGTTTGCGGACCTCAGCTTTGAGCATTCGGCCCACTGCAATGGACAGGCAGTCCCTCTTGGGCCTGGCTTGGTCCCAGGGGAGGTCCTTGTCGAGCGAGATTTGCCACTTTTGGATGTCAGCTTTGCGGTAGGAGTTCCAGACCCTGTAGAGGCAGGACGTCAGTGCTATTGGCCTCTCCACTTTGCTGTTCTTGGGGATGAGAACCACATTGGTGTAGCGGAGCTGAGTGGGAAGCAAAGCACTCTTCTCCATCTCGGTGAGCAAGGCTGCCAATCTGGAGACTGCTGGGTATGGCAGGTGGCGGATCATGCCATAGGAAATGCCATCCGGTCCAGCCGCTTTGTTGGGTAGCTTGCGCATGAGCTTCTGAAGCAGGGGCGAATCAACCGGCTTCCAGGTGGCTGCTTCTTGTTGGGCTATGATCCTGAGGTGAAGTCCGCGGATCTGCAAAGGCTCTTGGAGTGGCACCCAAATCTCTCCCCATTCTTTCTCTCGAGCCGTGATGCCTTGGAAAGGGCGTTGCCAAGCCTGGTCTCGTTGCCTCAAGCTGCGGAAAAGATCACCAAGGCCTTTCTGATGACCTTTCTGGAGCCATGGTGGAATGGAGAGCTTGCTTCTGTGCCAGATGCTCCTGCTCGAGGACCATGGTCTTGAGGTCGGTGGGGTCCGTGGAAGGGCTGCTGAGCCACTGGTCCATGACTGCAGTGAAGACATCCGCTTGGAAGTCGTCCGATCCATAGCTCGATACCTCCTTGAGCATGTTGGAGAGATCTCGGTGGACTCCTTTGTGGCCCGTGTGATGCACCACATTGATGCGCACATTCAGTTTTTTCCCAAAAGGCAACCGCTCCTCTCATCCAGGTTCTCGAGGTGGTGGAGTCAACAAGTGGAGTATGGAGCAAGGAGATATTTGACCCCCGTCCTGTGATCGGCTTGTGAAGAAGCTGGGTGATGTACTTCTCCGTCTGAGATGCCCATCTGGCAAGGTCTGATCCCAAGCCCTCTATGCGGTCATTCATGATGAAAAAGGGCCCATCATCCTCAGGAAAGCTAGTCCATTGATGAGGAAGCTGAAAAGTTCTGCCAATAGGCGGAAACCTTTGGAGCTGCTGGACCTCCATAGCTGGTTGAGCACAGTCAAAATGGACTTCCAGTGCGCAGTGTGGTTTCCATGGGACTTCCCATAAAGCTGTGACCTTTATGGAAGCAGACAAAGTAGTGGAAACCAGGAGTCAGTGTTCTCTCAAGTGTCCAGGATCTTCTCACTTCTTGCAATTTCAGCATCCAGTTCCAGAATGTGTTCGATACATAGTCTACTTGGTTGTTTGGGCTCAAATCCACATCAATGAAGGAATAGAGTCCTCCCGAAAGTCTCAGGATGAGCGACACAACCTCAAATATAACCTGCAAAAGTAAAACATTCCGGAAATGAGAACCAGAAAAGTAATCAAACAAGACCTTAAGAAAAGAACAAGTATGTCAGTATGTCAGGTTCTTTCTTGCAAAAGGACTTAATTATGTGTTGTCCAGCTGCCTCTGTTTACATACTATGCGTCATTCTATTAACAGCATGCAAAATCATTCATTTCACAAACAGTTGTCGTGTCCGAGGCTTCACACAGATTTCTGCGATTATGTTAACTCCTTCCCGAGAGATATCCAACAACCGGTTACAGTTTTTTTTGAATTCAGAAAATCTGTCACTGTTTTTTGGAAAATCTGCCAGGCATTTTGGGTAAATCTGCCAGTTTTGGGGGGGAAGTTTGCCATCAATTAACGATACCAACTGCCTACTTTGGAAAAATCCGTCACCGACTTTGAGGAAATCTGCCACCGCCAAATTGGAGGGACGCTTTTCCAGTCCCTATCAGTGCCACAAAAAGAACGGCACGCCCTGACACTGCTCATTGGGGATAAACACATCACGTGTAGCACTCGATCTGTTACATCACTGCATCCAACTCTCCTCTCCAAGCACCGATGCCTCCCCACGCGGATCTGGCGCCAGGCATCTTCAGCCTTCCTCAGGTCACTGCTGCGGGCCTCCGGATCTTGCGCCCGAGCGAAAGGGTTTGGTTTTCCGATCAGAAGCATGCCATCAAAACTAACCGCTGAAGCTCAAATCCGATGTAGAAGAATAATCCCTCGATTCAATATGTTGCAATGTGTCTTGCATTTTTTGCAATGGAAAGATTAATGTTGCATGTGGCATCATCAAGTAGCCTTATCAGCCCGCTCAAGCTAATCCCCTGCCCTTGAACCCCAGCGTGCCTCTTCAAAGCCTGACGCATCAGTGGTCTGAAATGTTGTCGAAGGCATAAATGCACGAAGCTTGACATTGAACCCCTTCTGGAGGAGGAAAAAGGGCTCCATCCGCTTCTCTGACCACCCGAGGGCGGGGCTTGGTTGTCCCGGATTTTCACCACCCTGTGCCTTTCATCATCTCTGCCTCGAATCCGCCCAGCCAGCGATTGAGCACGGGCCTCGCTTCGGTGAACAAACCCTTCGCCAGATTCGTCGGCAGAATATAATATATGTTAGTGGGGGATTAGACTAGTGCCGATCACAGTTGTTGGCCCATGATTTTTTTACCCTCTTGACAAGCATCCATTAGCTCACTTCATCCAAACGATCAGCATCCCAAGTCCACTTCTCTTTTCACCTCCTTGCCACGGTCACTCTCCGTGCTCGCGTCACTCTCCGCAGCCACACGGGCCACGGACAACGCCCATGCGCACGCCATGTGCACGTGGAAGTGGGAGCTCTCAGGATGGATCTTGCAAGAACGCCTGGCAAAACCGTGAAGCCAAAACCCATCGACGGGTGGTAAAACGCCTGGCACGGCGTTGATGGCTTCACGCCTTACTTCAGGAATCCATTCGTCCGCCGCGCCTGGAAATCCATGCCACTTCCCCTTCCCTCTTCCCCTCCCTATAGGACTGTAGGAGAAATCATGAACCAAGTGGTCCAAACCAGAAACATCAAAAAAAACAGAAACATATACAACACATTGCCTTACAATGTCTTACATGACCTCACCACCATTGACTGACCAACCGGCCCCTGTCCTGATGCGCACGCGCATACTCCGCAAAAACGCCATCGCGTTGATGCAGCTCTGCGGGAGAACCCTCTTCAACCAAGCGACCCTCCTGAGGCCGATCGGGTCGTTGGCACGAAGCTCGGAATGCTGCGTGCGACAGCTGCGCAGCTTGGGAAGCCATGTCTAAGTTCATATCATTTCTTTGCTCCATCAAATGCAGGGTGGTTCAAACACATCCCGAGTTCCAAGTGCCGCTTTGAGCCGCAATAATCCCCAAATTAACTCCCTGCAACCGAAATTCTCAATGACACGACATCAATCCAACATCCGGATGAGAGAAAATGGCGAGAAAATCCAACATCCAATCCCTGCCCACCTTTCCCATCGTTCCCCTCTGTCCTGCAAGACCAGCAGGCGATCTGCCCGCGCGAGGTTCGAGAGCCGATGAGCCACACAAATCACTGTCATGCCCTCCTCGCCGATTTGGGAGTGTCAGACAAAGAACGGAGTCGGAATGGCCATGCCAGGTATCTAACTATATAATACTATATAGCCAACAAATGCCAACAAACAAACAAACAAACTAACTAACTAACTAACTATCGGAATGACAATTTTCAACTACTATATAGCTTCAATCACTTCAAACCAATCCCGCCCGCCAAATTCAACATTCAACATCAGTCAACCAATCCACCTACCAAGTCATTGACCCGGAAAAGAGCTGCCAGGGCAGCATCCACTTCCATGGCACCGTGCGAGCATCCAGCGACCATCCTCCCAGAAAAAGAAAAAAACATCGATGTAGAAAATCACTGGATATGATATCATGCCCCCAGCATAAGCACCGACTACCTGAGAAAAACAGAATGAGGTGACCACGAACTCCTACCATAGGTAATGGATGGTAATGGAATCCATTTGCATTTCGACCTACGCAACGATCTGCGACGTCTGCATAACGATGGATGTCTACAGTGGCCATGTTGCCTCACCCCGCCGTCCTCTTTCCGAAGCTTCTCGATCTCATCCTGCAGTCGCGCCTGGGAGCACAGCCGTGGGCCAAGGTGAGCCCCATGTGGAACTGGGAAACTACGCATTGAAGGTGGATCTCGCAACTGCGCCAGCAGGTAGCTGCAGAAGAACTGCAACTGGACCCCGGGAGTCTAGAGAGAAACTCGGAGAAATTGGAAACCTGGTGTTTCCCGGCGCCAAGTTCGCGAACCTTGGAGATTCATGTCTAGAAAAATGCAGAAAGCCTCAGAGATCTACTTCCAGACTTCCAAGCATTACTTTAAAATACTCAAAACTATTCAAAACTTGTGTCTTCACTTGGTTGGGCAACTCATTCTTCTGGAGTCGACTTAAGCTTAAGTAGGAACCATCCCCAGTTAGCTCTGCTGTTGGACGAATCCTGTAACCCCCTTGTGCAAGATGGTAGTCCTTCTATTTCATTGATATCTGAGATCGGGGAATAATCTTGTAGCATGTTAGATCGTGCAAGATTTCCCAGGGCTTCCCGGAATTACTTTTTGCGCCTGGGAGATCTCATCCAGGGCTGAAGTGGCCTGCAGGCAAAACAAACATCATGAGTGTGTGTCCACATAGTGAAGAGCAGCGGCTAGCCCCCCCGACACACAATGTCCATGAATGACTCATGTTTTGCACACATAGGGTTTGTTGTTGCTCTTTGGCCATTGACTCATAGCCTTGAGAGCCTTGAGTAAGAATGGCGATTTGGCAATGAAGTGCCAAAAATCTACACTACTTTGTGGGAGGGGGGCTCGCAACCTTCAACAGTTGCACCTGGACCATTTAAAACACTACAGGCTAACATACTTGAAACTTCCAACCCTGTTACCAACCCTCAGGTTCCGCAGCCAAAAATACAGGAACGTTACCAAGTCCTAAGTCATGTCAGGCTCATTAATACTGTATATGTACTACACAACATATACATATATATATATATATATGCACTTGTATGAACCCTTCGCTCCGTACAGGCTGCTTTTTGGTCAAAACAGCCCATGCCCTATGACTGAAAAGGCAATGCAAGCCCCAGTAGACCTGTAGAGTGCTTCAAGCACTCAAGCCGTTTACCCAAGCTCCTATGGCCCCTTTCCACGCGCTCCTGACTGGCTCAGTGATTAAAAGCGCCACGAACAGGGAGGGAAAGAAAGGGAGGGTAACGTGACGTGAGTGGCTTCTGGGCTTGCAATGCCAACGAAGAAAAAGTACTTCTGCTTCATAGGACAGGACCACCTTCCCAGTGTGCTGGCAATCCCGGGTGACTTTCCTCTGAAGACATGAAGCCTTGAAGCCTTGAAACCCTGCTGACGACCTGAAGCCTAGTGACGACCTGAAGCCTTGAAGACCTGAAGCCTG